AACTCATGCGGAAGTGGTTTCAGCTTCTTAGTGCAGTACTTTAACCCGCTGCCCCACCAGGGAGGGCCTGCCTATATATTTTTACTTGTGGTTTACAGACATTTTGTATAGCCAAAGAAAAAAATGTGAAGACAATTTACAAAATACTAAATATTCAATATAAGAGACCATAGATTAGAAAACACCATTATTTTATGTTCTAGAAAATATATGTTCCCAATTAAACTGTAACATTGAAAGTTATATTAATAAATATTTCTGAACTATGGAAATGCAAAATGTGTGTATATTCTGAACATGCTCCAAGATGTTAACTGTGTAAATTTTGAGATGTTTAAAGGTAAATGGGCTTGGTTTTATAACTTAAAAAAAATCACTTCTTCCCTAAAGTAAATTTTGAATTGGTTGAGTGACTGCATATTTATTCCAGGCTTAATATTTCTAAGAAAATTTATTAATTATATACCTTGAAGACTATTTGAAAAATAGCTTTGATATTGTATCTATTGATGTCTGCAGAAAGCTAGCATTCATTATACAAACTGTAAACAGTTAATTAATTTGACTAGACTAACTAAAGGCATATTTAGATATCTGATTGCAAATGGTCATTGATAGTTCCTCTGAGCACTTTCATTCTGCATGACACCAAAGAAATTCACACTAGAAGATACTATGAAAAGTTGCTCAAAATGGTAAGAACCTTTAGACAAACAATCAGAACTTGTATGGTGCATGAATACCTATCTGTATATCATAATAGTAAAGCACAGATTAAAAAGGTCAAAAGGCCCAAACAAGTCCATGAGTTAAAACACAATCGAAGCAACTAAGCAAACAACCTACATTTTAATTCTAAAGATTATAATAACTAAAAACTGTCCATTTCTGGAATTCCTAATTGTCAATTAAGGAAGTAACAAATATTTACAATCTTTTAGTTAGCCTTTGAAATATTTTTCTTCTAAGAAAAATTTTTATAACAGCAGTAATATATGCCAATAAAATAATAGCAATGTGATAAAATAATAAATGACTACATGTGGTTTTAGAATAAAGTATTTAGGCTTATCAGATATAAACTGGATCTTATACATAGTTGGATTTTAGACAACTGATAACAGAAGATGACAGCAAAGCAGCTTATCATTTTATCACATATTTGACTATAAGCTTTGCTGCAATACTGGAACAGTTTATGCAATCAGATTTGGATGAAACTTCACCCCTTGCTTTCACATATTATAAACCATTTTGGTGACTTACCTTATCCTTTCTTTGTTTTTCATCTTGGTACACAGCCCAGTGTTCCCCATCATTGCTGTATGCAAGTTTGTAGGAGCCCACAAACTGTACATGACCAAAATCTTTAGCTCCTTGTGTAATGATACCAGTCACTTTAGTAGGGACCAGAAGATCCACCTAAAAAAAGGGAAAAAATAATTTAAATGTCACAAAAGAGTACATTATACATCTGTAAATCTTGAATTTAGAAGATTGATAAATATATATGCTAAAACTGAAAATTCACTGATTATTTTTATTTTGAAATTGATGACTGTCTTTTTAGATGATCATTATCTCCCAGGGCTTGGGCTTATATTTCTATTTTCTAGTTAATTCAGTTATAATACAAATAAAATTCTGGCTGTACATACATCAAGAACAAAAAATGATATTGGGTATTTCATAATTAAATATTACACTGTCCTGAATTTTATTCAGTTCAGTAATATACATGAATAATAGTCATTGCTCAATGAAAACTATCTTTTTTGAAACTATTTTTCTAAAAATGTTGAGGAGGTGTTTTTCAAAAATGAAGAAGGGCTTAAGTAATCTATCCATGACTTGCAGAATCTGTGTTCATGATGTATTCTTTCCTGCAAAACCTGTATTTAAAAGGTATCTGATTATGGTAATTTAAAAATCATTAAATTCAGCAAAATAAAACCAAAATGCAACAATAGAAGTGATTTTCATCAAAGAACACAAAACACTGATTAGTTCAGTGCACTCCCTCTTTGCTGTCCAATTCATGCATCTTCCTATCATCTTATGATGCCAACAAAAAAAAAAAAAAAAAGGAAACTTTGTTCTCCATGTGGACAAGTCTTAGAAGAACTTTACTTTCTGTTTTATTAAATGTTCCTTGACCTATAGCTTCCTCTCTCCTCCTTTAACAGCCACTTACTTCCTATGATTTAAGTGCCTTGCTACGTCCTTGCTCTTATCTTTAGCTGTCATGATCCCATATGTGACCTTGGTGCTGTCAACCTTTATGTTCTTTTGTTTCTATTTCAGGTTCTTCATCCGGTGAGATGTAAGAAACCACAAATAGACAGCCCTGGGTCAGATACAGGCCATGAGTGAGAAGAGGCAGCTATGGAAAAGGAACTGAATAGATCATATTTTAGTGACATAGATGACCATCAATAACAAATGAGAAAGTTCCTAGTGTTTCACAGCCTAAGAATATATCATTAAAAATTCAAATGGGCTTTTTACCCACTTTTTGCAGAATTCATTAAAGATATTAAGTTTTTTTTAAATAATATAATAGTTTATTTTTACATCACTTTGTGCTTTTTTTCCATCTCAGTTGTAATCCCCATGGGCAAATCACCTTAGTCCAGTGCACTCTATCCACCCACCCCCATTTTTGATCCCATTCCTCACTCCACCCTCATAAAATGTCTATGTATATAGTTGTTCATTATTATTATTATTTTCTCCCCTGGTCCTTTATACTCCTGCCTTTTCTTTCTGGCTTGTTTCACTAAGCATGATCCCTTCCATTTCCATCCATGTTGCTGTAAAAGGCATGAGTTTATATTTTTTGATTGCTGCGTAATATTCCCTTGTGTATATGTAGCACATCTTTTTAATCCAGTCATCTCCTTTTGAACATTTGTGTTTATTCCATGTTAAAGACATTAAGTTTAAAGTAGACAATGGATTAAGACAGGGAACCATCTTTAATGTTTATTAAAACATTACACCAACTAATATAGCTTTATACACAGTGCTGGGAAAATTGGAAAACCACATATAAATCAGTGAAGCTGGATTACTCTCTAAATAAACACACAAAAATAACCTAAAAATGGATTCAATATTTAGATATAGACATGCAACAATAAAATACAAAGGAGAAAACATGGTTGATACATTCCATGATATCAAGAATATGATGGTTACTTGACCTTTATCAAGGGAATTAAAAACAGAAATAAACAAATGAGGTTACCTCACATGAAAAGCTTATATACAGTGAAAGAAAATACAAAATTTTTAAAAGACACCCTACTTAATGTAGAAAAAAATACTTAGTATATAACTGATAAGTATACACACACACACACACACACACACACACACACACATATACATCTGCCATCTGCAGTGTTAATGCTTGCTCGTGTGTCCTCAGGTAACAAAGCGTGTGTGTGATTCTAAGATGAACAGCTAGTAAAGGGATTTCCTAGATTCAAATCCATGTCCTTCCGTTTCACAGACGCACCATACATATGGATGCTAACTCAATGATTTCTTCCTGATCTTTGTGACTATCTAGAAATTTCTGAGGAATCTCAAAGCTGTTTCAAGATTACAGCAACAAAAATAATCCTACTTTTAGAGTACTTGGAGAACATATGTTTTAATCTAAATTTCCTCTGTTCTTCAGCTGTCTGAGCTTACGAATATGGACTGCCTTTGTAGCCCTAATTCAAGCCTAATTGTGCAGAGACACCTAGCCATTGTCCTTAAAGGTGTTCTCAACACTGCTGACACTCTACAAAAGGGGGGGAAATCTTAAAGAACCATGAGTCACTGTAAAGGCACAGAATTCAAACTGTTATCAAGAATATGAACATCCACAGGGCTGGATTCTTTTGCCTTGAGCTTCTGTAGGTCCTTAGATAAGATGATGCAAGAGGCATCTTGTAGCATCTCTTTGGTGGCATTTTTTAGAGTCAGCTGGCTTTCCTAGTGGGTGGAGATGTTTTCTCCTTAAGTTGTATGTCTTGGCTCTTTCGAACAGATATGTTTTTCTCCCACTCGAAATGCTCCCCTTCTCCAGCTTTTTTTTTTCTTTAACTAGAAATGTTTTCCTTTTTCTTTTTTTTTTCCCCAGTTAAATCAACTCCTCGACTTAAATAGTCAGCAATCTGTTTAAAGCTGGATTTTATCCTAAAATGTGCTGCATTAAACTTAGAATATCAGGCCTAAGTAATCCTTCTTTCAGTATAAAAGTAACCAGCACCCCCCATTTCACACGAGCCACTGCAACAGGGCATGGGCAGAATGCTCCCTGAGACACATGGACAGGCAGGCCTTGTGCTTAGTACGCAGGCCCAAGGGCCCCAGAACAGTCCTCTGCTTACTGTGGCCAGGACACTCTGTCCTTTTGTAGATCTTCAAGGTTAAGATTGTATGGCAAACATGCTGGCAAAATATCTTCTAGCATTTTAGACTCTCACCTTCAAGGTTTTGCTCAAATACAGCAAGGCACTAGCTGGCTTCTGAGCAGGCAGTTGCCTTTTTGGACTGCATTTCATGTTCAAATCTTTATTAAATGCGCCTTCCTTGGAGCAACTCTTCAATAAAGTTTCTGCTGGATTAAGCTGGAACTACTTCCTCAGGATGTCAGTGGACAAGCATGAATCCATGGCTAAGGATATCACACAATATCAACCAGAAATGCTAGTGCCTTTCTATGTGGGTAAAATAACTGGCCGTGGAAACACAATGTCACAGTGCTACCAACAATTTTTTTACTTGAGAAGACAACTAGTTTAACATTCTTTCTCACCCTCAGCAAAGTGACTGTGAGACGCAGCCTATTCTACTGAAACTACAGGGCCTGGGTTCCCAAACTGGCTCTTCCCTCTCTAGCACTATGCTCTTGATTCAGCTACATGATTTCTCTATGCCCAATTTCTTCATCTGAAAAATAAAGATAATATTCCTGATAGGATTTTTTGAGTATATGACTACATTTTATTACAAATATAAAGCAATGTATGAAAAATAGTACTGATAGCAGTAACAATGCAAAGTGGGAAAAGACTAGTATCAACCTCAGAGCATTTCATTAGTTGTATAAATATAGAAGCAGAAATGGGATGTGCTAGTAGCAACTTTTGGATCATAGCATATTTTGGCCATAATCTCAGGATGTATACAGATCGTCATTTTATCTTTACTTAATGTGGAGAAACTCTGAAACAACTGAAATTCCCATTTGTGTGTGTAATGGATAACCCAAAACAATAAAATTCATTTTATGGAATGCTCTGTACCCCAAGTTAAATGTATATGAAGGCTTTACAATAGGGCAGTGGTTCTAAAACAGTTTTTAAATAGATTAATTTCTAAATTATAGTGAATGACTTATTTCCCTTTAAAATAAATATATAGAGAGTGGGACTTAAATGATATATAAGTAAGGAAACAAGTACTACATTATAGTTATTTGAATTTTTTATTGTAAATCATCTAAATGCTTTAGTGAAGTATAAACAGTTTTAGTCAAACTTAGAAAAACAGTGAAGAGAATTTATGAACATGAAAGGTCAAGATAAACTATCTAACAGATGGATCCCCAGAAAAAAGACAGGGAAGACCAGCAAAGTCAGTTGACTTTCATAGAGATGTTCTAAAAGTGTGAAGAAGATGAAAATTAATAGAGCTAAACTGATGTGCAAATAAAGAGAACAAAAAGATCAATGAGCACTATTATAGAAGCCTGATGCTCTCCTATAGCTAAAATATGCTAATTTCTGCATTCATATTATACCCATTATTTTGAATTACATATTTTATAACAACATGGAGCTTTGCAATTTTAACCCATATATGTATATGTATATATACACACCCACACCCATACAGACATACACAGTTTTAAAATAATTATAGACAGAACTTTTAGACATACATATAGCTTTTATAAAGATATTTTTACCTGATCTTTATACAAAAGTTATATATCATTCTACTAACAAGGCACTCAACTAAGTGTACTTGGCACTTGAATGATGTGGCTGGTTACCAAATGTTTGTTACACATGTCTCCCACCTCTGCGGGCCAACTAGTTAATGTGGTCTACTAACTATGAAATACTAACCAGTTTCTGAATTTGCTTTGATCTTAGGTTACAAGTACAGATGCTTAAACTATTATAGAACCTTGACAATATATTCATTCCACCATTCATTACTCATTTCTTCCTTTACTAAGTTAGTTTTCATTTTTAATAATATTTAAAATATAATATAGAAATTTATATTTCCATATTGAATTATAAAACTGTGAACATTAACTCAAAAAGAATCAGACCAGAAAGTAGCCTTTCAAAGGACAGAGGGAAATTTCTGATTTATTGGTGTGTTGGAGTGTGCTTTTTCCATGTAAA